CATAAGTCTCCGATTAATATAATTAGTTGAAAAACAATAGTAGCGATTTAAATTACTATTGTTGAAGGTAAGTAACTAAATATTGTAGTTTGAAAAGAATCATAAGTAATAGTAAATGAATGGCATAGAGACACACACTACAAGAACACACACATCAAAAAAACAAAAGGAAAAACCAAAACATTGTTGTTATTGTGTGTTTAAACTAACAATGATTCTAAGCAGAGTGTTTTGGGTTTGTAAAGATATAAAACAGCGATTTGGAAGAACATGAGAATTTGAAAATAAAATATTAAGAAAAGAAAAGAAAACACAGTCTTCCAGAGGGTGAGAGGAATGGATTTATGCATTTGAAAAGCAACAAAAAGAATGAACAAGAGAGAGAGAGAGAGAGAGAGAGAGAGAGCATTCCAAATCAAGGATGTGACAACAAAATCATCCACACATCGCTAAAAGTGCCATTTAAATGGTCCTATCTTCTTGTCTACAATAAACCATACAAAACCCTTAAACAAAAATTTTGCCCTTTTTTCTTTAGTAAATCAAAAACATAAGTAGGATTCCCGTAAAAGTAAAAGTGATCACCTAAAATATGGAACATAAATTTGTTGCATGCCAGGAGGCAACTTACCATCCTTAATCTTATCATCTTGTTTGATAATCATTTTATGAACTAAATAAATATAAATTTGTTTGATCTTAAAAAAAAAAAAAAAAAAAAAATGGTAAGAGGCACGTTGTTTTTGTATGAAGAATGTAAAAGGAAATAATAGTAATAAAAGTGGAAGAAAGAGGAGAGAGTGGAAATGGTTAAGAGAGAGATAATGTTAATCAGTGAGAATCGAGAAAGGGTTAAGCTGGAAATTAGGGCACGCTTCATTACCTTTAATTTGGCCCCCACTTCTCTTCTTCCCTTTTTGTACGAAGAAAGAAGTGTAAATTAGGGGGACACAAAAAGAGGGAAACAAACGCACTATTGGAGTAATTATTTTTTAACACCACAGCCACAGCCACAGCCACAGCCACAGCCACAGCACTAATGCAATGCACCCCACCCCACATCCCAAACCACCTTGTGCAATATTATATTCGCCTCTTCATTTCATTTCTCCTGCTTCATATTTTCGTTTGCTTTATAGAATTGCTTCTCAACAGTATAAACCCGTTAAATTTTGGTTTACTACAAAAATCTCAACACATCATATAAACCAAACACTGAAATTTTGTTTACTTAATCGACAATAAAAACATTGTTGCGCTTTGTTTCTAACCCCAACGGGAAAAGTATCTCATCTTCTTGTTGCCTTTAAACGAACAATTATACTCCAGAGTATGGGGGCAAAATTGGGCATCTGGGCAATATTCTTGATGATAATAGTGGTAGCACAACCCTCGTCCGTTAAACTAGGCAATATATTCCACAAAGCAGCGCAGTATAAGAAGAATCAGACAATGAACTCAACATTTTTTTAAAAAAAAGGTTTCCAGGAAGGGAAGGGAGCGTTTCGTAGAAGGACTAAGTACCGAATTCTTAGATTTTGGTCAATCACCAAATAAATAACACGCAAAATCGGTTGAAGAAGTTACAGAACTTGAGCAGCCGTATTCAACTTTTCAGCCAAGCTCAGCTGCGTTCTGGTGATACTCGATAAATACAGCAACAGCAAATGGTCCTGGAAAGAAGTGAGAATGGGAGATAAATGGACAATCCATTAACGAGACACCAAACTCAAATAATAACTCATAATTTAACCACCCACTGAAAACAATTTGGTGTTTTTTATTTTAAGTTCTTGAAAATTGGACTTATCTCCCCACAATTTGCAAAAATAAAACCATGTTCTTTTTTAGTTTTCAAAACATAACTAGGATTTTAAAAACACTCCTAAAGGGTAATGACAAAACAAAGAAATCAATAGGTGTAAGTGGTGTTTATAAGCTTAAATTTCAACTAATGGGGCCTTAATATTCAACTAATATTGCAGCCTCTACTTCAGAGAATCAAAATATATAAGCAACGATAAAATAATCATACCTGCACGTTGTCATTCATCAGCTTATCGAAAGCAGCTGGCGACAGTTTTGGAAGAGAGGCTACAGTGTCAGCAAGAAATCTCCCTATCGTGTTGTCTGCCTCAACATGCCCTTCCTGAGAGAGTAGTAACATAAGCAAACAAAAGACTATTTCTAAAAAAAGTAGGAGACCCAAACGTCACTCACCACAACGTTATCAACATATTTGTAAATATCGTCGATTAAGGCAAGCAATCTCTCCATTGAAGCTTCCATTCCTTCCAAATCATTTGGCAGTTTATCAACAGAAGTTGTCTTCAGTATATCAACTGTTAACAGAAAACTGACTTGAAGAAAGTTTTGAAATTGATTGGACAGGATCAACAAACAAACACAACCACACTCATACAAAAAACAACAAAGACGCATCTCCATCTCGATACATTAATAACTGCCATAAGGCTTAAGGGAAAAAAAAATTCACAATCTATGTTCATATGTGAAAAAAAACCAGCAAAGCTACAAAATAGGAATATTTACATCCGTATCAGACCAAGCTAATGTTAATCTAAACCTAAACTTTTGTGCATACAGCTGTCAATGAGGCAACCTAAACTTGTGTGCATGCATTTATGTCAATGAAAAATGGATGTGCGGATATGTGTATATGGCATAGATTGTGCAGCTTAGACACTTCAATAATGAAATTAAAACATGAGCGTGGAATAAGTTCATACATCCAAGTCTCTCAGCTTCGACCATTCGAAGATCTAAAGGAATTTCTTGAAACTGAGCAGCAAGCTGTCTATCTCCGAGGGACAAATTGATAGAGATATAGGCTTTTATTGTTCCTTCACCATTGTTAAATCCAGTATCAACGGTCAGATGAATAGGGTTTGCAACTTCTCTAGAATAAAATTCGTGTATCAATGCACTGCCACCAGTAACTCCCGTACCAGTTGAGTACCTGTCAGTATTTGTGGTGTATTAGGCACTATAAGAAAATGTGTCTATCACTGTGCCTTCGCAGAGGTATCACCGAAACTTTGGGTGGACTATGTAGCAACATTACGAGCAAAGCATCCATTTAGATTTTTCGATCTAGGGTAGTATATATGTAACTAAAATAATATAGTGAATTTGTGGTCTTTCAATAGGTATGAAACAAACAAAAGTTAGCCGTCAAATTCTTTCTAATGAGAAACCAATGCCATCCGGAAAAATAAGAAATATGCAGAGGCAAATGGCCAAAACCAAAGGGGCAACAGACAATAGTTGAAAAAACAAACTGTGGAAATAAACTAAAGGAATTTAACTAGAGTTGATAAAGATGAGGAGAATTCAAAGGATCATATGTTGGATGATATTGTATTTCTCTTGTTGGGCTCTTGTACTATATCGTTTAATTTGTAACTCCGCAACTTTTGTTCATCTTCTGCATTAATGATATCCAGTCCCTTACGAAACAAGAAATGGAACTTCAACTATAGCTGATAAACATAGTAAAGAAAAATCGGCTTTACCATCCAACGATAACCTCCTTTGGATTAACTTTTTGGTGGGAACTTAACATATTGTGATGATAGTCAATATCCAGCGCAACCTGTTATGATGAAAAGAGTGAAATTGGGAATTTGGAATATACAATTTTTTTGCAAAATGGTAGAACAAACATGACCGTTACTATCAAGTCTACCTAAAATATCATTTGAATTCAATGAAACAAAGAACGTTTAAAAATCATAAAGTTCCATCTGCAACCATAATTTAAGTGTTCACGATTCTCTTGTATAAGTAATTTACATGAATTATTAAGGAATTTTACGAAGTACGATATAATCAAAAACCAGATTGAAAAAAGGAGCAGAGGAAAGACAGGGAACCCTCATTTTCCCAACGGGACAGAGGACGAAATAAATTCGTCAAGGAAAAAATATAGAAACAAGGGCTTTAATTATCACCCAAAAATCAATAAGAACGCCAAGAATATGTGGCAACCCAAACAATTACATCGAGGAAACAACAGAGATGAGATTAATACAGAGTAAGGAGGACCTGATCCGAGAACTCATTATGAGGAACAGCATAAGAGTTGCGAATATCAACGGTTCCATCAGGTAAAATCGAGCCAAGAAGTGTACCGATTACTCGATCGGCCTGGTCAGGGCGCCTCACATAGCAATCACAAATGTTGAAGATAACCAAAGGGTGAACCTTCGCAGATAACGTGTTAGAAGACTGTGAAAATTGCAAGACCGTGCTCTCCGTCGTTGCCATTGCTTGAAGTTCGAATTAACCTATCTCCGTAAAAATGGTGGCCGAGAGAGACGACGAAGGAGCAGAAGCGGATGCTAGGGTTTCTGTTCTACCTTCAATTTTTGGAAGAAGACACGTAACAATTGGGTCGCTGAATAACGCACCTTATTAGGCCGAATGAATTCGGCCCATCATTATACTTATTATTAAATATGTATAATATGTAGTTGAACTACAAACAGCAAGCCCGTCTAGCTCAGTTGGTAGAGCGCAAGGCTCTTAACCTTGTGGTCGTGGGTTCGAGCCCCACGGTGGGCGGTATTTTGTAAATCTTGTTGAATAAATGTTCGTTCTGTTTTTTTTCGGAATTTTCAATTTCTCTAATATATACAAAGTTAAAAAGATATTAAATAAACTTAAAGTATCAATGACAAATTCGACTTAAAAAAAAAAAAAAAAAAAAAAC